TGACTGCAGAACTCCCAAGAGTTGAAGCTGAGTCTCGTTCCATCTGGGAAACATGGGCTCTGTCTTTCCACTCCAAGAAGTCCAAACGTTACGACCACTTAAAATGCATTTGGAGGGTTAGCAAGCAGCCCCGTAGGCAGCTTTTAAAGAAGCGCAGCCCTCTCAAAAGCCTTTCCCTGGCCAACGAGAGCTGCCTTAATTCACACTGGCTCTGGTTCCATGTCCCTCTGCTGATTGAATAACAGCCTGGTTTCACTGCTCTGCCAACAAGCTTGTGAAGACTCCCAGGGTGGATGTCAGTTGATATCAACTGGGGGTAAGTACATTTAATTGAAATAGGCTCAGGGGGTTTAGGACATACTGGATTTTCACTCCTGACCCTCCAGAAGAAAACATGTTAAGACTGTAGCATAAAAATAAGACGGCAAGCTGGGCCTAATAATGCTACGCTCCAATACAGTGTTGATATCCGAGATTCCAGACAGTGTAAAAATAGGGCTGCAGGTGAACCCAGCCATGCTAAAAGAGATTAGTTCTTTACAAAACATTATGTGCACCATTTAAAACAAAAACTGGCATCAAAAGTGAAATAACTTTTGGAAGCATGCAGAGCCGGAATCAATGTCTCTGGTTCCCTAATCAAGCTCCTATCCATGGGGCAATACTCAAGTGTTCTCTATATATCAGCTGCATACAAATAAGACGGGCTTTCACCAGGTTCTGATCCAGCAACTTTCTCAGCAAAACTGGGGAAAATAGTTCTGCACATTGGCAGCATAATACACAGCACTGACTGGCTAGTGACTGTTCTGTCAGGAACTCTCATTCCCCAAAGCAATTTTGCAATTTTATTAGACTGGTCTGTTTGTGTTTAAATGAATAGATGTTTAATTGCACAAATGTACGTATGGCCTTTTAAAAAACAAAGAAGGCCAACATCTGATCAAAAGCATGGGGAAAAGGTAAAACTGAATTTTTGGAATCATGGACACCTCTGTCTGGCAGGATGAAGTTGGGGGTTACCCCAAAGGGTTTGTACACACCCTTAAAGCATCTCTGATAGATGTCTGAAAGCTAAATCCTGGACAACCTAATTAAATAATGCCAGATCCAGTGTTAATCTCTGTGGAACCCTACTGCTCACTTCCCTCTATTGTGAAAGCTGACCATTTATTCTGCTTCCTTTCATTTCCGAGTATGTGTGTGTGTGTGTGTGTGTGGGGAGCTTCTTAGCTAGGTTTAAAGCACCAACAATACTGTAGCCTGAATCCTGGAGAAATGCAATTTATCTGTCAATAAAGTACTTTCTAGACCCAGGGATTTTTGGGTGGCAGCACTTACCAATACAGAGTACCAACACATGGGGTAAGGACAGGTAAAGGTTCCCTTGCTCAAAAGCCAGTCGAATCCGACTCTAGGGTTGCGGTGCTCATCTCCGTTTCCAAGCCGAAGAGCCAGCACTGTCCGAAGACATTTCCGTGGTCATGTGGCCGGCATGACTAAACACCAAGGTGCACGGAATGCTGTTACCTTCCCACTGAAGTGGTACCTGTTTATCTACTTGCAATTTCTTGCTCTCGAACTGCTAGGTTGGCAGGAGCTGGAACTAGAGATGGGAGCTCACTCCGTCATGCGGCACACTCGAACTGCTGAACTACCGACCTTCCACAGCCTGCAGTTCAGCGTCTTAACCATTTGAGCCACCACAGCTCCATAACACATGGGGAGGCTCTCCTAAATCCTAAGGGGGGAATTGGTGGAAATCAGTGCAGCCTTATATAAAAGTACTTGCACTTAAAAAAAAATAAAACTTGAAGAAAGCACTCTGTAGAACTGTGCAATAACAATACAAGGATTTGGCAGCACACACACACAATGATACGCACAGCCCTTCCAGCTAGAAAGGAACAGACAGTTCCAACTTCTAGGGACCACTTTGCCCGAATATAACTCTATGTCAAAACCTAGTTGAGGCAGTTCAATCCAAACCCATAGCCCTCCCCCCCAACCCTTTTGTGTTGGCAGAAGAAAAAGCAAGACTGTTCTGATGGGGAGGGGAAGGAACTGAACAGCTCCTATGGTGAAGACTCAGTGGTGCTGTTTCCAGGCATCTCTATTTGCCCTAATCCACAAAAGCCACATAACCTAATTATGAGAAATCTCTCTTCTACCTGTAGATAAGACTCAAGGAGCAGCAATGCTCGCCTGTGATTTCTCTAAAGAAATGCAGACTTTTAAAAAAGGAATAAAGAAATGAAAGGCCATTGTGATCTCATTTATATTGCATGGAGGGGGTGGGAGAAAGGATAGCCCTGCTTTCTGGGCAGAGCATCTTTAACTCTATGATTAGAGTCCAGTGGCACCATGAAGACCAATGAAGTTTTATTCAAGGTATAAGCTTTCATATGCATGCACACATCTTCAGATATATTGAACTGGAAAAGAGTAAGAGTCCAATAGCACCTTAAAGACTAACAAAAGTTGTGGTAGTCACTGCTCACTTCTTCAGATATTGAAATGGAAGTTACCTGAAATGGAAGTTTTAATGTATCTGAGGAAGTGTGCCTGTACACGAAAGCTCATACCTTGAATAAAACTTTGTTGGTCTTAAAGTTGCCCCCACTGGACTCAAATTTTGCTCTGTTGCTTCAGACCAACACAGCTACCCACCTGAATCTGTAAATGATGCATCCTTTGTGATCTCAGACTGTTTCCCACATATATTTCCGATGAACTGGGCTGTGACTCATGAAAGCACAACTTGAAATAAACATTGGGTAGGGTCACACACAGAATTAGCCACGTGATAGGGACGAATGCCGGGCGTATTTTACGGGCGCGATCACACGAAAACATTTGGCAAATGTCTCGCACCCGTCAGCAACCCATACCAGGGAAAGTGCACTAGTTTCCAGAAAAGGCGGGGCGCAGGCAGGCGTCAGATCGCAGAAGCACTGGTATCCCTTCACATCCGTTGGTATGCGAGCAAACGTGGAACTGCGCATGTGCACAAAGGCCTACTCCTGAACTGCCTCGCCCTTCTTTGCCATGCTTCACCATCAAAGTGTAATCGTGGCTGAGGGCATGTGCACAGAGTCTCGGGGGAAATGTCTGATCGTGATACTGCACTTCAATTTGCTCCGGAGCAAAAAGCCTCGCTTCGCCCCCGGATTATCTCGCTGGTGTGACCGGGACCATTGTTAGTCTTTAAAGATACCACCAGACTTTTGTCTTATTTTGGTTACCCCCTGCAGGAGAATGAGGTGGTAGAATGGGCTATACCACTTTGAAAAGCATGAGGGAGAATCACATTTTGGAATGATACCCTATATATGAAGATCTCTCTGCAAAAAGAAAGCAGGGATACAGTCTCTTTCCCAGCTGTGCTAGTTTTCTGTTGGCAGGGAGGAACATTCAAAGATGGAACCTACCATCTATGCTTTGCAGTGGTGCAGTCCATTTTACCCCTTCCATATTCTAGTACCATCTCATTCCCATCCCACTCTCCTCTATCAGGCCTTTAGTTAAGGGGTATCATAGAATCACAGAGTTGGAAGGGGCCAGACAGGCCACCTAGTCCAACCCCTGCTCAATGCAGGATCAGCCTAGGGCATCCCTGACAAGCGTTTGCCAGCCGCTGCTTAATGACTGCCAGAGAGGGGGAGCTCACCACCTCCCTAGGCAGCCCATTCCACTGCTGAACTACTCTGATTGTAATAAAAAATAAAATCTTAATATCCAGCTACTACCTTTCTGCCCATAATTTAAACTCATTACTGAAAGTCCTGTCCTCTGCTGCCAACTGGAACAAGGCCCTTTGGGATCTACAAAACAGTTCACAGTATTCCTCCAAACTCCATGTTATGGAACCGTATTTAGGGCTTGGAAGCTGATGCTTGCAAGCTGAATGGCTGCTGCATGCCAGAGCAAAATACCAAGCACAAACAGGGCTACTTACCTGCCATAGCTGCAGAAACTCAGTGTCTAGTTGGAATTATTATTTGGGTGTTAAATTCAGGTGGAAAAGGAGGGGTGGAGCCACAGGTCTCAGATGTTAAGGAAGTGTGGCCTGCCATCCTTTGGCACGATTCTCTAGAAGGCTGTTTTGTTTCCTTCTCTTTTCCACTCAGCTGAATTCCCTGCCCCCAGGGACATCTGTAATTTTTGCCATTCATATTAGGTTTTGATCGCTAGGTCAGCATGCTTTCAGACCCAATGTTGTCTAAAATGCAGAATACAAGCATAATATAATCAAATCAATATTCTGTGTGGTGCTTCCAGCCCTGTTTGCTTCCAGAGCATTCAACTTAAGAACAGCTCCAATAATCTCTTGCCTAGGAGACAATGTTGAGACCTCCTCGGTCTGAATTATCTGGGGTGCTCATGCCCACTCTTGCTGTAACTGAGGCCTACCCTGCAGGGCTGTTGTGAGAGTTTCAAGACATCCCATGCTAAGAAGCCAAAGACAGGTTTTGTAGCAACTGTCAAACGTTAGGCGGTAAAGTAAACCATCCCTACACCTCCTCAGTTGGAGTTGTTTGAAACACCAACAATCTGCATGTGGCTGCCGCGGCGCCTAGTCTGTCCGGATCGCTTGCGTGCAAACCACTAGGTTTGCGTTTACACCTCTTTACTCTCCCAGGACCCAGGGCCGCCGTTTCCTCTCCCCGCCCCCCCCCTCGGGGGAATGATAAGGAATGTTTGCTTTGGCGGCGCACCCCAGTAACGCAGGAAAGACAAGGGATTCTGCTCTTCCCTCTCCATCCTCGGCTCTCCCCCTCCCCCGAGGTCTGCGAAGCCAGAGAAGTAGCAGCCAGGCAAGGCAACTCCCCCCATCAAGGGTCTGCTCCGGCGCCTTTGCAGACGCGTCTCTCCCCACCCCCAGCCAGGCACTGGAGCCGCAGCTGCCTCCCTCTTGCTCCCTCCCCCTTACCCCCTCCCCCCGCCTCGGCCGTCTATAAAAAGCAAAGTCCGGCTTGGCAGAAGGAGACGCGAGCAAAAGGGGGTCGGGGCACTTGCGCGAACGAGCGAGCCAGCCAGCCAGCCAGCCGTCGGATTGTTGGACGTGCAGTCCCCGGAGGCTCGAAACGTAGACCCATCGCTGGGAACTCGGGAGCGGGGGGACAGAAAGGCCGCTTTTGTCCGGGGGTGGGTGGGAAAGCGGGCGAGGGTCGCCCCTTCCTTTCTTCCTTCCTTCCGCGGCCCATCATGGACGTGAACACTGCGCGGCCGTCGGCGAGCGACATCGCCGACCTCAACAGCCAGGACGCGCAGACGGTGTGCGAGGCGCTGGGCCGCTACGAGGAGACGCTGCGCGGCGCCGTCAAGGAGATCCACGTGGACATCCAGGTCTTCAAGAGCGGCGTGGACCGGCAAGTGGCCGAGGTGCTGCGCCTGGCCAGCCCGTTGGCTCACACGGTGGCCGAGCTACAGCAAGAGAACCGGCACTTGCGAGCGCAGGTGGAGCGCCTGGCCCGGCAGGTGGAGGCCCTCCGCGGGGCGGCCGGGCTGACCGACGACTGGATGGCCGAGCCAGGCGGCGCGCCGATGTCCAAGCTGAGCGGCAGCGCCAGGTTCTCCAGCCACGCCAAGCTGTCCTTGTCGACCAAGAGTCAGGTGAGCCGCCCGGCTAGGGTCACTTACCACCCGGTATCCTCTTTTTAGAGGACATGTCCTCTTTGTTTTGGTGTCCCTCCGTCCTCTTTGGGCTGTTTTTTTTTTAAAAAAAACTGATGAAAATAACTTCTTTTTGGGTTGGAAGGTTAGGAATGTTCCTAGTTAGTAGCAGTGATCACTGCTTAAATAGCAGGGGTATTTAAAATGAGATTCGTCATAGTGTGATCACTTGTTTGAAGTAGTGAGGTGGGAAATATGCCGTCTTTTTTGCTTATCAAAATACGGTAACCCTGCGCATGGCAGATGCCAGAGTGGGCGCTGGAGAGCCACCCAACAGGGGGCGGCCCAGGCCAGCTCTCGGTGACCTCGAAGCGAGTCCCGGCGCATTGTTGGCCACATGGGCCTGCCCTCCCATACGCAACCGAGTTCCTGCCGCAAAGGAGGTGTCCCCAGAATAGGGTTTGCCAACTTCCTGTTGGGACCCGGAGTGGTCCCAGAATTACAGTGGATCTCCAGACTGCAGCGATCGGTCCCTTACCCTGGAGGAAAGGGCTGCTGTGGAGGGTGGACTTTATGGTATACCATCGATTTTAGTTGAAGTTGCTCCCCAAATTCACCCCCCAGTATGCTCCCCTGCCCCAAATCTCCAGGAATTCCCCAGGCTGATGTTGGCAACCCTACAATTCTTTGCTGCACTGCTGCCTTTTCCCTTTGAATCAGGTCCATAAGATATGATTTGCCACTGGCCTTATGGGGAAATGGACTTCTGGTTCGATTTGTACTGTATTTTAAATTGCCTTTTTGTTGCATCACACTGTAAACAGCTTTGAGCTGAATGGTGCGCTATAAATAAACTGAAGTATGAGGGTCGAGGGATTTGCAGAGGCAGCAGCCGCTGCTGGAGGGGTCCAGGGAGGGGGTGCAGAAGAAGCGGGACCCTGCTGCAGAGCCAACTGCAGGCCAGAGAGAACCAGGGGTCTTCCAGCTCCAGCTTAAAGGCTGCATTTGCCCTTCAGGCAAATTTGCGCAGAAGTGGCAGCGGATGGGAAGTCGGATTTCTCCCCCTCTTCCCTGGCCGCTGCCGCCACCACCACCGCCTTCTGGATCCTCCAGTCTCCTGAGCAAGGACCCTGCTTGGTTGGTGAGGCTGCTGTTGGACATAGAGGGTGTGGGAAGAGGGTCTTTCCCACCCAGTGCCTGTTAAAGAATACTGGGGCACCACACAAGCCAGGGGAAGGTTTGACTCTGTGTAGGCTCCAGTTTGAGGGGCATGTGCTGAACTCTTGTTGAGAAAACCTTGGCTACTGGATCAGGCTCGGTATTCGTCTGGTGGAGCTTGCCCGTCTTGGTGGAAGTTTTGGCAGAAAGGTGAAGGAAGATGGAGTCTTCGATCCTTCCCTTTCTTGGAACAAAGAGGAAGGGGTGGCTTGCTACCCAGCCAGAAAGCGAAGGGTGGGGAGGTCAAAGGTCAGGGGAATCTGCCTTAGTGTCTTTTCTGATTGTAGGGAGATAAAAGGCCACATTTGACCCCCCCCAATTAATTTGTGTGACAAGTTTCAGACTCCAAACAGAGGAAGTTAAAAGTAAGCAATTCATAGTATGGTTTCTGAATAACCAGAATCAGATTCCTTAGGGCCTAGGTCTTGGAGGGAGGGTGTGGCCTCAGGCACCTCAGCTCTGGTGCCGCCTCAGAGAAGTCACCTGTTGAGGAGAGCGGCCTCCTTCCTGTAGTTTGGCTGGAGTCAGCTGGAGCCTATGGCTACACAGGTGCATTCCCAGAATGCTGTGAGGAAGGAAAGCCTGGAGCTCACCTGACTGCGAGAGGGTCATGATAACACTGGCCTACTTTATACAGGTACCGTAAGAGTTACTGGGATGAAGCATCCGACAGTCCTACAGTGCTGAGTTGAGGAATGGTCTGTTTCCAGCACCTGGGATATAACAAAGGAGACCACAACTGAGCATGTGCAGAGTATTATCCTCTCACCATGAATCAAATCTAAGTGGTCACCAATGCTCCTTCTAAACTGTGGAGTCTTGTGAGCAAAAATTCTACTTTGTGAGCTACTGGCATTAAAGTTGTAAGCGAGCGATTTGACTACTGCATAAATTAGTTTGCTCTGGAGCCATCCTTCCTGAGCTAAGTTGAAAATGTGTGAGCCGGAGCTAAAAAACTGAGCGAGCTCACACTAACTCAGCTTAGAGGGGAAGACTGGTGGTCACCAACAGTTGCGGATGACAAAGCTGATTCTCTTGTGGGTCTGTTGCATTGAAACACAGATCTGTTTACTGGAGTAGCTTTTGCCAGTCTATATAGATAGAGAGCTCTCTTCTTGGCCTAAACGTCTGGCCTGGGATGAGGCCTTTGGGTGGTGAAAGGGTCAGCTTTTATGCGAGAAGTGGATGTTGCTGAGATTCCGGTTTCTCCAAAGCTGGAGTTGTAATCAAGTTAGCTAGGTACAGTTAAGGAAGGGCATTTTGCACATGCTCAGATTCTCTCTCCTCCCTTTTCTTGTTTCTTTAAGGGTTCTAAAACAAAGCCCCTTTTAAAGCAAAGCAGGGGAAAGGTATTTTGCGTTCCTCTTTCAAGGCATGGAAGAAGGAGAACTCCTGGAAGCTCAGGTTCTGGCTAGTGGGAGAATCAGCCAGAGAGTTTGGATGAGAGGAGGGGGGGGCCTTTTAAGTACAAACAGCCCCATCAGCCTCTTTAAATAGACCAGTGAGTGTCTGGCCCAGGCGTTGTGTTCCTGCTTCACTCTCCAAGGAGCAGCTGGGTTGCCGAGAGAGCCAGTCCATTCCCTCTGGGAGATCAGTTTGTACTTTTGGGGACTACTTGCCAACCCTTCCTGCACTGCAGGCTGAGGGATATGGATATTAACATCTTGTTGGCAGAGGACATACAATCAGTGCTCTTCTGACACTCCCAGGTAGCTGGAAACAGACTCTTGGGGCTGGAAGCTTGTTTTTGTTCAGCCTGGGAAACAGAATGCAAAGGCAATGAAGGAACCGCGCAGTAAAGATGTAAGGAGAGCCCTGCTGGGCTGGCAAAACGGTCCAGCAGCCTGTCCCCAGGTACTTCTGGGAAATTCACAAGCAGGACATGAAAGCACAAGCCACCCTCCTTTGGTTATCCCCAGCACTCGGGATCTGGTGGTAGACGATCTCTGAACAGGGGCTTCCCGTTAGCTATCGTGGTTAATAGCTGTTGATATAACCATCTGTCTTCACTCTCTAAATTTGTCTCACGCTCTTTTTAAAGCCATCTAAAGTGGTGACCGCATTCACATCCTGCGTAAACAAACTCCATATGTTAGTTTGGCATGGACTTCCTTGAGTCCTTTCTGTCCTGTGAAACCGAGGGCCCAGAAAAACAGCCAAGACGTCATGATGCAGAACTTCAGGAGATGGTGCAGACACTTCACACAGCCTGTTTGGACACAGGTCGCTGCCTATTTGGCTTGTGGTCAGTGCACAAGTTTGGGATAGATGGGCTCTTTCTAGACCAGCACAAACGCAGGCAGGTCCCTTCCCCATGGAAGTACCCAATCGGATGATGAGTTTGGGTGCTGTTCAGACATCCGAGATGCTGTCCCGTCCGTAGCCATGAGCCGCGTTCTTAACCAGAAGTGAGGATCCTGCTGCTGGTTCAGTGCTCAATTTATTCCTATGTAAAGGGAGGTGAGTTGGGATCCCTGCTCTTGCCAAGGTGGCCAACGCTCACTCTTGTAAGTCTCTCGAACCCAGGTTCAGCCTATGACCATAGTTATACAAGAGAGGCTGCTTGAGCATGGCCAGGACTTTTTTCTGGGGGAACGTGCCGGAACGGCGTTCCGGAACTTCTTCGACAAAATTCTTTTAAAAACGTTTAAAAGTTCATGAGTTTTCAGTATACAGATTGAATACTTCATTTCCCTCTTGAGAGTTCCGGCACCTCTTTTTTAAAAAAAGAAAAAAGCCCTGAGCACGACTAACAATGCAAACGGGTCCTTGAGATCAGCTGTGCCACCGGGACTTGTGGAAAGTCCACGGTTGCACTGTGAGTGACTGCTACGCCCCTGAAAACCTTTCCGAAACCAAATGAATCCCTTGTGGTGCCTGTTGCAGCCTTTCCATCTTGCCTGCTTTGGGGGTTATAGCCAGGGCTGCCAGTCTTCCTATTCTAGGCCTGTGGGGCAGTCCTCCAGTGGGGTTTCTGTGCAGTCTGGATGGCTAGTTTCTCATGACCAGTGCAGGAGTGTCTCAGCCAGATGGCAGGAGTGTCTCACGCAGACGGCATCTTTTTTTTTGGGGGGGGGGGAATGCTCCCTACACTCTTGGTTGTGCGTGACCTGCAGCACGGGCGGTGGAGCGGAGGGTGCCATCCAGCCCTCATCTTAATCGCCAAGTAGCATCTGCTGCTTTTGCACCACCGGTCTCTAAATCCAGGTCAGCGGTCGTTTCTTGGCACGGCTTGTGTCTCTGCTATACATCTCCATAGCCAGAGGGTTCTCCCCCCACCCACCCACAGCAGCTGCTGCACATAACTCCTCGATGGTAGGAAACCGGCACGGCTGTTTGAGTTCAAGCAAAGGCAGCATGCCGGTGGTGCGGCATGTTCCAGGTGGCTCTTGCTCAGAGCTGTCATTACCACTTACCAGTGACGTCATCCTGGCAGCTGGGCCTCCCGACTGCTGGGGGAGTTGGGGGAAGAGAGCTTGCAGCTGGAGTTGTCTCGAACTGCCGTCAGGCGCGGCGCAACTGTGGCCCGGCATTTCCATCAGGAAGATGAATCGCTTTTGTGCGGAGTGGTGCTGGTTTATATCACGCAGAGCTGGGGCAAGCATCTGTAACTTGGCTATCAAGTGGGACCCTTTGGGGATCTGGCTTTTGTTTCCCAAGGCAGATGCCATGTCCGGCATTGCATCAGTGGCCCCAAGTGGGTTTCTGGTGGTCAGAACTTGCCTGGGCTTTGCTCCGAGGGCTGGATGTGAGCCTCGCAGCCTCGTCGTGTAACGGGACGC